ATATATATGGACATTGTCATTTTTTTAATATGTAGAAATATTAATCGACTTTGATATTAAAAGTGTTTACAATAACTTATGTATTCAGTTTAATTATCTGATATAGACTTTTTTAATGGATATTACCACGTCTGTCTAATTCCCTGATTTTATTTTATTCTTGAAATTAATTTTTATCAATCGATATACATGCATGCATCATTTTTTATATATTTATATATTTTTTTGTATTATATATCAATGCTAAAAATTTCAGCCTCATAATTTGTAATGGAACATATAATGTTGTTAAATTGTTTTAAATTTTGAGTATTGTACATTTTGATAAAACTAACTTTAAAACATTAAATGTAATTATGAGGTATGTAATAAGAAAATATTAGCGTGGACGCAAAATTCTAGTTAACACCTAGCTAGAGAGGAAAAGGAGATAATGATATGCTATGATAACAAAAGTGATACAAAGAAATAACAAGTAATACGATCGAAGTGTATACATTACTTTTAAATTAATTTTAACGAAAAATTACATTAAAATGTGTGTTTTATATTGAAAAGTTTGAGAATTAATTAATTTTCTGGTGCCAAACCAATTAAAGGGCGCAAATATAGTTGAGAATTACCTGTTTCCTAACGGGGCACCCTGGAGCTACAGTGCAACGATAATAAGCTCGTGGACATGGATTTCCTTTTGCAATTTTCTGCCCATATTTTCTCCATTGGCACCCATCATTCATCTATCATGAACAACACTAGAGATGATTAGATGTTAATGTTGGAGAGTTAGGCTCAAACCTTGTTCTTAAGAATCTAATTTATCATATAATTAATAATGCTAACTAGATTGATGGATATATTATTACAAATTAATATATAGATTTTGAACTCACCGTGGCAGCCTCACATCTTGCTCTAACCGAAACCCTAGCCTTTCTGTTAGGAGGGGAAGCAGCATGTGTTGTAATACCAGGCAACTCATGTGTCCGCTGAAATTTGTTCTGCACTGATGATGCAAAACTTGCCAATTGTTCATCTTTCTTTTCTTCCTTATTATTTCCCACATCACTTTCTTTTTCACTTGTGCTTGGTTGCAACCTTAGTGATAAACCCAATTCACTCTCACTTAAACTATCATCAGTGTTTGGAGGAGATGGAGCTCTTTGAATAATTTTTTTGTTAAAGATCTCAAGAATTTTCGATGGCTCTTCACCACTGCTGGTTGCAATGTCTTGAAGTGAGAGAGAGATTTCATGATCCTATAAAAATGGGATCTATTTATTATTATATGTATAAAATATAGATGTTAGTCAATGAAGATCATCAATATTAAAGAAAACAATCGGATTCACCTTTCTTTTATTGTTTTCCTGGATGGCTGAAAATTTCATTTGCAGATCATAGTAGTCTTTCATTGTTTGTTCCACCACTTTCCTCAGAACTTTGTTTTCCTCTTTCATGCTCTCCATCTCCATTTGTAGGACATTTAACTGTAGGAAAATCATACCCTTTAACTACTTCTATAAAAACAAGTATAGCATATAAATATCATACGCAAGCAATTAAAAGTTATCAAAAGAATTCTTGTGTTTCAAGTTACTCCTGCCTGAACATAAATAAACATTGATATAGGAAACATGAGAATATATAGAGAGAAAATAGTTGGTCAAATTATACAGTTTCAACCGTTAATTTTCTCAATCAGCAGAATCAAATTAAGGAGGTAATAATTTTGAATCTGCTCACTGATATAATGAAAAATCTAATTACCTCTTTTGTTTTTGTGTTATCTTGCAAAGATGTTTCTACCACTGATGCATCGTCTTCAATTTCACCAGTTGGGGTCTCAGGGACTTCTTCCTTATTATTATTATCTGGAATCTGTGTCATTTTCTCTTCCTCCTCATCCTCTTTCACACTCTCATCCATGTCTTGTTTTTGCTCATCATCAGTATCAATCTTCAAAGAGAGATCAATTTCCATCTTTGAGGGTTTTTCTCGTCCCCTACCCATGAATTGAGGACGAGGTTAAGCTTTTGAAGAATCTCTTCCTTTGTCCTCTCCTAGATATATATAAAAAGTACATACGCTACTTTTAAGGCACCAAAGTCAATACCCTCGTCCCGAAGACGTTTCTTATCTTGGACACACAAGGACGCATCTATGATTTGACTTTAGTTGGCTTCTTAATGAACCTCCAATTAAATTAATTACTCTATAAGCTTTCATTTTAAAATTAATTTAATAAACATATAGGCAAGTGGGCACCCTGCTATATTTGATAAGTGAGCCCTCACATTACCAAAAAGACAAAATTAGCCATTGATACTAAGTGAAGTTGATGGTGGGTCATTGACCTTTTTAATTGCCCCTTGTGTGATTAAGAAGCAAATCAAGGTCTTATATAAAATCTCAAGCCAGTGCACAGAAGAAAAAAAGTGAGCCAAAAGCATCACATCACTTCAATTGTTTGACATTATTAGCATAAAAAATCATAGGCTTTTTATCCTCTTAGACCACGTAATTAAGCCGCCTAACATCTTGATTAATTGATGCCATCGTGCTAATTCGCCCCTACTACTCACTCGTGATAATAATACAAAACCTTTTTCATTACTAACACTAGGGCATACTAGGGCATGCACATCGTGACTCCTACCATGAATTGCATGCTTCTCATTTTATCTCTATTTCATGCGTAATAGAGCGTGACTCGCATGAGCAATAATGTCTTTTTACCATGGAAAGAGAAGCCATTGGTGTTGAAGATTGAAGGGGGCACTCGTGCTACATGTGCCTGCTATTACGAACAATTTGACGAGATTCATTTGAGTTTTTTTTTATTATTATTATTTTATTTCTCTTATGAATGGGAAAGAGGGGAAAAATATTCCAAGGTTTAACATGCAGATGATTATAATATATGATTTAATCTGACATCATCTATTACCATGGAATATGAGCCCCGTACGAAATCCCATATGAAGGAAAAAAACCTTGGGATCAGATCTTGATTTTGTCAACTGAAGACCATATTTTAAAGCTCATACATCTCTCAACTCCTACTTCATAGTTTAGTTGTATACTACCTCCCACGTTATAGTTTAATAATCAACAAAAAATAAAAACATTTTTTTTCGTAGTAAACTCCTTCAGTAAGGAAATGAATATATTTATTATGTCATTTGTTTAATGAATTCATACAGCATTTTTTTATGATAATTTTTCTATCTCTTTTTATCACGTCAACTATCGTATCTCACATACTCTTGCTCTGTTCTTTCCATTGTATGGAAAGAGAACTTTCTCCCCTTCTTCTTTGGCGCATTATCTACAATTAGAGTTTTGAATGGTATTAGTTTAATTTCTGCTTTAATTTTAAATGTGGAAAAGATCCGCAACACCCGAAAGTTTATTATAGTTATAGACTGCAGAAGTTACAAAGTTATTATTTTTAAATTTCAATGATATAAAGAAATAAAGTATATGGCTATAAATGGATAAAAAAATTTATAAATAAAATTTGACTTGATTATGTTTTTATTCTTAGTAAAAAGAGTAAGTTTTAATTTTGATCCATATAAAAACAATTATTCATTTTTCATCCTCTAAAATTTAGAATTACTATTTTTAGTTCCTAATTAACTATTTATTTTGTTTATCAAAAGGTAAAGTAACCATCTTGACACTTATATGTGATATTATGTCAATATGATACTTTTAATTTTTTTATAAGTCATTAAAATATATATTATTTATTTACCTTAAAATAATTGTTAAAAATTAAAAATATTAACTTTAGATTTTAGAATGATGAAATTAAAATTTGTTCATCTTCTAAAAAAATCAAATATTATGATTCTAATTTTAAGAGGATGTAAAATAGAAATAAAAAAATAAAAGACTAAAATAATCAAAACTCTTTCATTTCATTTTAGAGAAATTAAAAATATATCTAATTCATAAAATTTTATTAAGAAGATAGTGCAAGAAATATTCTAATACATATATATTAGTCAAACAAAGTAAAATAAAAATATAAATAGAGACATCATTTAGAAAGGGGGGAAAAAAAGAGGCACGTCTTGCATTGGCTTATCCACTTTAAGATACTATTAAAATAAACATACAGTAATTATTATAATCAAATATTAATTAAATTAAGTATAATAAATAGTACTTTAGCATATAAAAAATTAATAATAAAATTTATAAAATTAATTTAATGCATATAAAAATATTAAAAATAAAGAAATTATATAATTATGGTAAATATATAACGATGATGTGGGTGACTGGTTTTTTCATTAGTGTTAATAAAGCATTGATGATGCATGACCATTTTTTTTATTTGTAAGATTGGTTTGTGTTATCCATTTTTGTTGAAAAAAATCAAAATTAAAAAAAAAAATATTTTTTAAAATCCATAAGCAATATTATTGATTTAAGAGTCATTCTTTATATATTTTTAAATAATATATGTCATATATCACACTTCAAAGTTGCTAATATGCATCATCGATACATCGTAAACACTCTTAATTGAAGATACTCTAATTCTACCATTTAAGTATTGTAAAGGGAATATAGTTAAAAGTCCATTAGGCCCATAGACTTACACAAAAACACATATCATATATACTCTGTAATAACTCTGTAACCGTGTGCAATACATCTCTCTCTTTCCTCTCTTTCTCTTTTCTCTCTTCTCTCTTCTCTAATCCTTACATGGTATCAGAGCAGTAAGATCTTGGGGCAAACAATGAACTCTTCAACAGCTTCCGCAATCCAAAGAATCGTACCTATCTCAGTCAAACTTGATGATGAAAACTTCCTCACATGGAAGATGCAGGCTTCAGGCACTATCAAATCCTTCAAGTTACAACAATTCATCGATTTTTCTTCTCATGGTGGCATGCCCAACAAATTCAAAGATAACGATGCTATGGCTCTTGGTAAGATTTCTGATGACTATGCCAAATTGGGAGCAACAAGATCAAATCGTATATACCTGGCTTCTTGCTTCAATGTCTCCTATTCTTCATGTTCGCATGGTGGGTTGCAACCATGCTCACCAAATCTGGAAATCCCTCCACACATACTTTGAATCTCAAACTCGCGCAAAGGTATGTCAATTGAAAACCCAACTCAAAGGTATTCGGAAAACTGATTCTCTCAACAATTATCTTTTATCAATCAAGAAAATTGTGGATACCCTAGCCTCTGTTGGATCCCCAAGTAACCCATCTGAACACATCTCCATCATTCTTGACGGGCTTTCAAGTGAATACAACCCTCTTGTTACCTCCATTATTTCACGCACTGACCCCTATATCGTTACCGAGATTGAAACTCTCCTAGCTACCCTTGAAAGTCGCTTGGAGAGACAAAAGAAAGAAGAATCTGATAGTTTTGCAATGCAATCTCTTCAAGCAAATATGGCTCAATTTCAAAATCGATTTGGAAAGAATCAAGAATTTAGGTTTTATAGCAAGAATCCCCAAAATTTTCGTGGAAGAAGCGATCATAGAGGTCGTGGCAAAGGTTTTGGCAGAAACAATGGTCGTGGCTATCATAAGGTGCAATGTCAAGTTTGTCAAAAACCTGGTCACACAGCTCTCCAATGTTATCACAAATTTAATCTGAATTTTTAAAATGATAATCCAATTTTTCAACAACAAAGTCCCTACTTAGAGTCTCAAAACAAGGTGATGAATGAACGCTAAGGCTAATCTTGATGACCACCCAAATATGTCAGCATTAATGGCTGTTCCAGAAACATTATATGATCCATCTTGGTACCTGGATACCGGGGCAACAAACCATGTCACCTCTGATGCATCCAACCTCATGGGTAAGACACCCTACAAAGGTGAGGCCAAGCTGAAAATGGCAAATGGAGATTCTTCCTCCATACAATACATTGGTAATTCTTATTTCTATCCTTCTAAGTCAGCTAAGCCTTTATTTTTGAATCAGTTAATGCATGTGCCATCTGTTTCCAAAAACCTGCTTAGTGTGTCTCAATTTGCTAGAGATAATAAGGTGTTTTTTGAATTTCACCCTAATACATGCAATATCAAATGCCAGGAAACTAGAGATGTTCTCATGAAGGGCTATTTCCGCAATGGTCTCTATGCTTTTGATGATCTTAACATTGTGAATACTAAGTTTGTGCCAACATGTAACTCACTAATTAGTGGTTTAAACATAGTAATAAGGAAGACTTATATAGACTTTGGCATGGCAGGTTAGGACATGCAAATGTAAGAAGTGTTACTCATGCTATGTCTAAGTGTAATTTGGTTGTTCCAAACAATAAAACTTTTTCTGTTTGTAAGGCATGTTGTTATGGTAAAATACATAGATTGTCCTTTTCTTCCTCTACAACTACTTTTACTGCTCCTTTACAAATGATCTACAGTGACTTGTGGGGACCTTCTCCCATTCCATCCTCTAACGGAAGCATGTATTATATGAACTTTATTGATGCTTATTCTAAGTATACTTGGATTTACTTGTTACAACATAAGTCTCAAGCATTAACATGTTTCATACATTTTAAAAACATGATAGAAAATCAATTAGATCACAAAATCAAATGCATACAAACTGATGGTGGCAAAGAATATATAGCTTTTACGAAATTTTTGCAAGAACATGGCATCCTACATCATATTAGTTGTCCTTACATTCATGAACAAAATGGCAATGCTGAGAGAAAACATACACATATAACAAAAATGGGGTTAAGTATACTTGCTCATGCTTCCATGCCTTTAAAATATTGGGGAGAGGCTTTTAACACTGTTGTCCATATTATTAACAGATTGCCTACACCAACTTTAGCTTTTTCAACTCTTATAGAAAAACTATTTTCAAAATCTCCCTCTTATAATGATTTGAAGGTTTTTGGTTCAACGTGTTACCCTTTTTTAAGGCCATACAACAAAAATAAGTTTGACTTTAAAACTTCTGAATGTGTGTTCCTTGGATACAATAGTTCTTATAAAGGTTATATGTGTTTATCCTCAACGGGTAGAATTTATATTTCTAGACATGTCATTTTTAATGAATTTGTTTTTCCTTTTGCTAGTAATCTTGATTTCGTAAAATCCTCTACTCTCATTGCTCCATCTCTTTCACATGATTCTCTTCCATATATTTCTCTAATTGCTGAAAATAATCCTGCACATATTGTCACTCAAAATCCTGAACCACCAACTTCCATAAGTAGTAATGACCTCACCACAAATGAGCAAAACTTACCTCATACATAACCATCACAGCCTCCTACCCCAACAATTACCAATAATCATCCTATGATAACTAGAAGCAAACATGGCATTTTCAAACCAAAAAGCTATGAAGTCACTACTCCAACTCAAAAGTTGCATGATACTTTCAAGGAACCCAAAACCATCAAAGAGGCTTTAGCCATTCCTAACTGGAAACAAGCTATGGATCAAGAATATAATGCTCTAATTCACAATAAGACTTGGGTTCTGACTAATCTACCTGCAGGAGCTAACTTGGTTGGCTGTAAGTGGATCTTCAAAGTCAAAACAAATGCTGATGGCACCATTAATAGGCACAAAGCACGGCTTGTGGCTAAAGGCTTCAATCAACAAAGTGGTTTGGACTTTACTGAAATGTTTAGTCCTGTTGTTAAACTTGTTACTATAAGAACTGTTTTAACTATTGCATTATCATTAAATTGGAGTTTAAGACAAATTGATATTGCTAATGCTTTTCTTAATGGAGATTTACAGGAGACTATATATATGACACAACCTCCTGGATTTACAAATGGAGACAAGAATATGGTCTGTAAGTTACAAAAATCTCTATATGGTTTAAAACAGGCCTCTCGGGCTTGGTTCCAAAAACTTCAGGATACTCTCTGTAATTGGTTTTAATTCTGCTAAATCTGATTGCTCTTTATTTTTCAGGATTACTACTAGTAATATTATATTAATATTGATCTATGTTGATGACCTCATCATAAGTGGTTCCTCACAAACTGAGATAGATTCTGTTGTAACTCACTTATAAACTAGGTTTCCTGTTAGGGATCTTGGCTTTCCAAATTATTTCCTGGGCATACAAGTTACTCAAATGTCTAATAACTCTCTTCTTTTGACTCAAACTAAATACATCAATGATCTGTTAAAAAGAGCAAACATGGTCACTACTAAACCTGTTAAAACTCCCATGACAGCTAGCCTAAAACTGACCAATAATGACAAAGATCCTTGTGAAAATCCTAGTTTATATAGGTCAATTGTGGGCAGCCTGCAATATCTCACTATAACTAGGCCAGAGATATCATTTTTCGTTAACAAAGTTTGTCAGTTTATGCAAGAACCAGAGGCCACTCATTGGCAAGCAGTGAAAAGAATTCTAAGATACCTATATGGGACTGCTACCACAGGTATTGTTCTGTCAAAATCCAACAACCTACAAATTTCTGCTTTCTGTGCTGTAGATTGGGAGGCTGATGTTGATGACAGAAAATCAACAACAGGATTTTGTGTCTTCCTAGGCTGTAATCTAGTCAGTTGGTCCTCTAGGAAACAACAAGCTGTTTCAAGAAGCACAACAGAGGCAGAATACAGAAGTTTAGCTGCTGTTACTGCAAAAATTACTTGGCTGAAGAATCTTCTACATGAACTTCAAGTACCAAATATAAGAACTCCAAAGATATATTGTGATAATCTTAGTGCAGTACTTCTAGCTGCTAACCCAATTCTTCACTCAAAGACTAAACACTTTGAACTAGACTTATATTTTGTAAGAGACAAAGTGCATAAAAGAGAAATATCAGTCCAACATATACCTTCACTAGAGCAGACAGCTGACATCTTCACAAAATCTCTCACCTATCCTTCTTTCTCAAACTGTATGTACAAACTTATTAGGCTTCACTTTTGTTCTCCCATAAGTTTGAGGGGGAGTGTAAAGGGATTATAGTTAAAAGCCCATTAGGCCCATAGACTTACACAAAAACACATATCATATATATACTCTGTAATAACTCTGTAACTTGTGCAATACATCTCTATCTTTCCTCTTTTTCTCTTTTCTCTCTTCTCTCTTCTCTAATCCTTACAAGTATCTTTCAACTCTTTTAAACTTTTGATAAAATAGTTTTTTATTTTTATTTTCATTATTCTTTTCTTTCTTTTAGACATTATATTTCTCTTTTCTACAACTTTTTTATTGTGAAGATATTTATATTTCCTTTTAGATAAAATACCCCTAGCATCATTTTATTTTCCACTTTAACATTTTTTTTCCTTCTATAATCCATTTTTATTTTAAATATATTATAAATATGCATTCGCAATCAAAGAACTTTATTATATATCATTCCCTTCACATTGATTTGACTGTTATTTGAAAATTTAAGACCATTTATTATTGACTTTTAGTAACTCTACATGCTCATGAACATTGTCTCAGGATCGACAACTAAAGTTTTGAGACACACTAACAAATGTTTTATTTTCTTAACATCAAGTATATTGATATGTAAACTTTGAGGAAACAAATCAAATATTGAGATGTTTTGTTGAGATTTACTTTCAGAACAATGTCAATAACCATCGCCGCAATGTAACATTTTCTTTACATACTTTCTAACAATTTGATGACAAATTCTTCTCCAACATTTTTTTGACTATTCCTAAAAAATAATATAGTAAGTACAATAATTTATTCCAATTTAGAAAACTTTTTGGAATATAATTACTAGAAATTATGATTTATGCAAATACTTATTTTTAGTATAAATTCGTTGATAATTTGTGAAACTAATTATTAATATTTGTAATATTAATTTTTAAAAAATGATCTATTTTGTGATTTATAGGAATTATAGTGACGGTAATAGGATTCAAATCACTAAACTAACTCTAGTAATTAAAAGTAACATTTTATTTATCTTATGTGTAAATATTTTATATTAATGTAATTAATGTTTTTAATATATTATATATAATATAAACTTTAATATAATTCCTCCACATCAAGATTGAAAATAGTCAAACTGAGCATCAATAATAGTTGGCTCAATTCACCACTCGATTCGAGTTTAACATGAACTATTTTCTTTTCAGTTTTGATTTGTTTCAAGCTTGCTAATAGCTCAATTCAACTTGTTAGTTCGTTAGCTCGAATCACATAAATCAAGACTCAATTTTTTTTTGAATCTTATACATTTTAAAATTTCAATCTAATAATATATTCATAAAATGAATGTTTATTTTTTTAAAAATAAAAAAACATAACTTATTAACTTTGTAAAACTACAAGATACGACTCTAAACAAACATGATTACAACTAAAGTCTATATAAATTAAAACTACTCCACCTAACGGTATAAAATAATAGAAAAATCAATTTGTAATCAGGAAATTCTAAAGTGTTTAATTATATTATTATTATTAACTTCTAATTAATGTCTAATTTTAATTAGCTAAAATTAAATAGAAAGTTAATTATATAAATTATATATTTATATGTCGAGTCGATTCATGAACTAAAACACTCAAACTATATATAACTCAAATTTAACTCAGTTATTTATCAAATTCAATCTCTAATTCAAGTTTAATTCATTTAGTTCATGAACCAAGTTCAACAAGATAACTATCAAATTGAGTTTCAAACTATTTTTGAGTTGGTTCAATTCATTGTTACTCATATTCCACACACATATAGACCAGACAAGAATCTACACATAGAACCTATACATAGAGGTATCTTTTTCTCCACACACATTTATTTGGGAGTATATATGCTATACACTAAAAAGAGAAAAAGAATGGTAGGGAAAAAATTGTACAAAAGAGATGTAATGACACTACAATAAAAAAGAAGTTTTGGCAATATTTAAAAAATGTTATCTAATTATATATAAATGTTGTTAATTTACTTTTGTAACATATTATCAAATGTCGAATATTATCTATCTTGCTAAAAAATTTTAATAACATTTTTACATGATTAGGCAATAATTTTCAAATATTAGCAGTTGTATTTTTATAATATTTTAATGATAGTGCTAAGTTTTAATTAACTTTATAAAATAATAATTAGTTTTAATATAGCTATTGTTATCACTTATACTTTATGACTCCTAAACTCCTACAAGTTTTTAAGGTTGAAGACATCCTTATAGTTAGTTACTAGCAAATAATGTATATTAAACATCAAAGCTCATTTATCTTTAATTAGTATCACTATATAATAATTATATTTTTTTTTATGTGTCATTCATTTATTTGACATGAAATTTTAATTTTGAAGAACAATTTGAGATTTTAGTAAAGTATACTCTTTATGTGACATTTTTTTATTCAATATGTGAGACTTTGATTTTGAAAATAAGTAAAAAAATAACATATAGATAAAAAAAAATGTTACTATATAGAAAACATTGTAAAGTAACCTATTTACTCAATCTATAATAATATTTTAGTAAATGTAGCAAAACGTAGTAGTGTAAGAAGGGAAAATATATAACAAAATGGAGAGAGAAAATTGTGGAAAAGAAAAAATGAAAGATATAATTAATTAAAGATTTTTATTACAGATTATTTGACACTTCTACCTCGAGAAATAAAATTTGATTATTGATTTGAACATGAATCACTTGATGTCATTACTATAGTCTATAGATAACACTTACATAGAAATTTTTTGAAAAACAACACTTTACATAGAAATTGATTGGTAAAATATAATTATATTTTCTTACTATAGATAAATAAACAAAAATGATGGTCTTTTGCAATATGGCAAATCTCATTACTGTATGTAGCGTCACACACACGAGGATAAACAAGGGATATTCTGTCACCATTGGAACACTGCAGAGACACATGGATCACCATTATTCCCAGTCTTAAAGAAAGCAATTGTTCTCATTATTTTTGTTAATTTGATTCCAACGTATGAATGATTTCTTGGCTTTCCTCGTGAATCAAAACTAATTCAAGTTGAATTTCAATCCTTGAGAGTGCTTAATTACATTTTATTTTAGAAAAAAAAATTAGATTAAAATAAGACATGTCTTTATTTAAGGTCATAAGTAACCATTAACTTCTTTGATAATTTTTAGTAAAATTACATACGCTTGTCTCATTTTTAATACAAACCTATGTAAAAGGATATAAAATACAAGAGAAATAAAATTCGGTCTTTAATTCTAATTAGTAACAACGAAAAAATTTGACCAATTATATTACTCTTACTAAACTTACTTAATTACATTCTAATTAAGCGTGCATGTATATGTAATAACTAGGAAATGGTTATTAACGCAAATATTATTGTGAAAGCAATTATATAATAAAAATGGGATATATGAGTAGATCAGGTGTTTGAAATTTGAAATACAACGTAATACAAATTATTGAATTATACAATATAAGAATTATAAAGTTATCGAATACACAACTTAAAATTATAAAATTACGCAACATATTGTGTGTTTTTTAAGTAGCTTCAAATTATTTCAGATTCTGCATGTTCAAATTCAATATCTGATCTGATATCATCGGATTTATACTTTAAAAACTTGAATAAAACCGATAATATTAATCAAATCTTTCTCTTTAGATCAACCGGGACATTGGATCAATCCAATGGTTGTATTTTATGGTATGAAGAAAACACTTAAGAGAGGGATAAGAAAGTGACGATGGTAGTGACAGGAATGGTTATGTGTCCAGAGAAGAAGGGGAATTCAGCATTTGGGGGTCTATGACTGGAACACAAAATATGACATGGTGGAAGAAAGCGACCAAGGGAAGATTTTTTGTATATAACAACTAATGATGAATATGAGGATTTCAAGGTTATGGGGGTAAACTTAATTCTGACCTATTTTAATTTCAACTTAAGTAAATCTTAAACATTACTTTTTCTAATATTTTTTGAACTTTGTTATGGCATCATAATTTTTACGGATAAAAAAAAAATTGCTTTGTTTTCCATAATAGATAAAATTGAGTCGTGAGATTAAATTTTAAAGTTTAGAGGTATAGATTTTGATTTTCAAGTTTATATAGGTTTCAATTTTCTTTTGGCTGCATGATTGGGACCATCCATGGTCTCTCAAGATTAGTGTAAAAGTTGCCAAACTATATTGACTTCGTTTAAGGGTTTTATTGCAAAACCTCTTCGTCACAGCTAGCTAAAGTCTAATTAAACCGATTTAACTATGCTGCATATCGAACTATACCTGGTAAAATCATCCATAAATAATTTTAGTACTTTCCCACCCTAACGTTTACTTTCTTTTTTTTTTAATAAGCAAAACATTTTAAGTTGAGTAAAAGGCTACTCAGCATGTTTTTTCTTTCACACATATAGTAAAAAAATGTAACATCATCAAAATTTTGAGATATTAGTCACCACTTCCAAAACCAGGTATCTTTTATATGATTGATGGAGGATTAGATTTAATTTATTTCAGTTTGCGGTAGAGGCTATTATATTGCAATTTTAGAAAGCATCAGAAGCTAGCTAATACTTGCAAAAATGCCTATCATTAATTGTTAGTGATAAAGAATGTTTTTAAGATCGCTCATTGAATAAGTGAAGACCGCAATGTTTAATGCGGAATATGCTTGGATTATGGTTAAATTGTGATCAAATTATAATTAATAAAATAATAATAATTAAATAATACATAAATAATATAATTAAATAAATATAATATTCAAATATATGATATTATAATTTTATAATATTAAAAATTAAAACAAAATATTATTTTATAGATTCTTATATACATTTAAAGTATACATAAAAGTTTAAATCAAATATATCATAATACATAAGTTTAAATTTTAATAAAATACAATAATATTCATTAACAATAAAAACTTTACATTGATCTAGAATAAAAAAAATGACAAATTAATATAATATAAAATTATAAAGACTTGATAGGTTACTATACTTACTACAGTTCAATGACAACTAGCGGAAGCAAACATTATACATCTACGTAGGTTATCGTGCAACAAGTAAATAAATCTCATGTACATAGTTGTATATGAAGGAAATAAAAATCACAATTCTTCATGCACACACACATATATAAAAAAAAAGTAGTTACTATATATAAAATAAATCTAATCACCAGTTAAGTGTTTATACAAAACCTAGTTACATAGAGTAGCAACAAACAAAACTGAGCCACCTCCAATGTAACTTACCATCAACAACACAACTCAACTTACTAATCTTGTTTTACTCTCATATCAAGTATGATCATACCAATTCCAACCACAAGAAAAAAAGGGTAAGCTTATGATATAAAGACCACATCACACAACAACACTCAACACATTCAACTTAAGTAAACCACATTCAAGTCATCACATAGCATCCCACCATCCAACTCTCGACATTTCAACATGTACAACATAAAAACTTCATCATACAACATTAGACACAACTTTCATCAATAGCAACTTGTACATCTTCAACATGAACAACATTCAATACACACACATATTTACATATAACTAGTGTAAGTTATATATTAGACAGTATAAAATTTATAAGTAATAGCACATCACAAACAACTTAGAGCAACGAAACCACTTGTACAACTTCAATCCACTTTCATACATTCAACATAACAACATAGTTATACAACTGATGTGTTATTATGCATATCAACTATGGAGATCTCCTAAAACATAAGTGAGTAGTTTAAAAGACTAAACCCTATCAAATCACAACGGCTAGTATAAAACCAAAAATAGCAGTTAACACTTGGCTAGAAATAATGGCTAACATAAAGCTAAAAACAACAACTAACATAAGTTAGATTGATTTCTAAGGTTTTGCTACTTGAACTAGGAAGTCTAGTACTATTGTTAGGGTAGAATGACTTGAGTATGAGCCTACTACGAGATTAGTTTACAACACTAAGTCGACTATGATATTGGTCCACCGACTACCCTCCAAGTACTACGTCCCTTTGATACTAGGTTAGAACTAAGTATTCGATCTGATATTTTACTCAATTAGTCAATTCATAAACGTATGATTTGACCTTACTCCCATACGAATACCACATAAATTCTAGAGGAGTCAACTGAAAATAAATTATCCATTCAGAAGCTAACTTATTTACTGAAGGGTTCAACCAGGCTCTCAAAACACTACAATGTATATTCACACAATGAAATATTTAAATTTTAAAAATATTTTAACTCTCCTCTAGTTTTAATGTATATCTTAAATAGACATGTATCTCAACCACATGCCTAACAACTTAATAGTTTTAGAACTTAACAACATACAACTTTACAACTTAATTATCTTTTAACTTACAACTTAAAAGCTTTACATTTTTACAACTTAAACATCTTTCAACTTATATTTGAACATCGTAACTCATCATGAAATACACCACTCACATTATACAATTTAATACAACTTGAATTGCAGCTGGCTAATGTTCTCACCAAAGGAGTGTCAAGCAGAGTGTTTAATGAGTCTCTATTCAAGTTGGGAATGTGTGATATCCATGCAACAACTTGAGTGGGGGTGTTAAGATATGTCAAATATTCTATTAGCAAATATTATGCAATCAAATATTGTGTTAGCTGTAATTTAGGCATTATTACAACTGTGAGGTAATTTGTGCAGCTGTCATTCCTTTAATAGATGAGGAATTATAGGACCCTTGTATGTATATATATGGTACACTATTCTTTGAAATATATATCAGAATTATTCTTTAAACCTTTTATATGGTATCAAGAGCTAAACACCGACATCCTCTACAATATAGGAATCGGTGCTTCTTTTGAATATTTCTGATGGCTCCTTCCGATAAAAATAAATCGGAAAAACATGATTCTAGGACTTTCGCTGCTACCCATATGCACGAAGCGCTCACCCCTGAACGGCTTGACGGCACCAACTATGTTGAGTGGTCGTTGAACGCAGAAAACAAGATCAGAGGCAGAAAACGTTGGGGTTACATCTCTAGAACAAAGGCTGCACCAGAAGACAAGAAATCTGATGAATATGAAGCATGGGAAGATGAAAACTGCCTTGTCAAGTCTTGGCTTCTGGACTCCATGACGAAAGAAATCATATCCCTCTTTATTCGCTTAGCTACGAAAAAGGACATTTGGGACACTGTGCAGCAAACATACTCAGTCAACCAGGATGCGTCCCGATCATATCAGTTATATCGTGAGGTAATCTCTACTAAGCAAAATGGAGGATCTGTTATTACATATTTTGGAAAATTGCAAAAATTATGGCTGGAGTATGATACTATCATGAATTGTAACATGGAATGTCCTAAAGATATTGAGAAGTATAACAACATGATTAATTCTCAACGAGTTTATGTTTTTTTGGCTGGCCTGGATACACATTTGGATGCAGTTCGTGGTCGTATCCTTGCTACCACTCCCCTTCCAAATGTTCAATCAGTTTATGCAACTGTTTGTGCTGAGGCAAACCGCCAAGAGGCTATGCTTGATAGTGAGTCTACTATGGGGACTGCCTTTGTTGTTAAGAAGTTTCCTAAGAAAGGAATCTGCAAGTGTACCCACTGCAATGGGGATAATCATGTCATGGAGACATGTTTTAAACTCCATGGCTATCCGGATTGGCATCCAAAAGGCAAAACTACTCCCAATACCAAGGTAGAAGCTACTTCCAAGAGCCATAGTTCTACTATTGTCGGATTTGTGACCAAGTCAGGTATATCTAACTCTGCTCTTAATTTTTCTGTTGTTACTAGGGGTAGTGATTGGATAATTGATTCAGGTGCTACTGATCATATGACTTGTGATCCTCATAAATTTACTAATTTTTCCCCTAATTGTTCTAAAACCGCTATTATTAATGCCAATGGGGTCTCATCTCCTATTGAAGGTGTAGGTACTATATCCCTCTCACCCTTCTTATCGATTCCTGATGTTTTATTTGTTCCTACATTGAACTGTAATCTTCTCTCTGTCAGCAAATTAACCAAATCACATTCTTGTGTTGCCTTGTTTTATCCAACTCATTGTCTTTTTCAGAACATCCATTCCAAGGAGAAGATTGGCAGTGGTAGAGAGAGTGAAGGACTGTATTATCTTGAAAATGTCTCACAACAAACCCATAAAGGAGCGTTGGCTTGTCTTGCGAATGAACACATACAAGATAAAAACAAAAAGGAAATTTGGTTATGGCATAGACGATTGGGACATCCCTCTTTTGGTTATCTAAAAAAACTATTTCCATCACTATTTCATAAATGCAATATTTCTGATTTTCTTTGTGAAACTTGTGTAATGGCAAAAAGTCATCGTGCTGTGTTTCCTTTAAGCAATAAAAAAACAGTTTTTCCTTTTTCATTAATTCACACAGATGTCTGGGGCCCTGCCCCACAATCTACACATAATGGAAAAAAATGGTTTATCAGTTTTGTTGATGATTGTACTCGGGTAACCTGGGTGTATTTGCTTAAACATAAAAGTGATGTGTGTGATGTGTTTCGTTCCTTCCATCATATGATAGTTACACAATTTAACACATATATTAAGGTCATTCGATCAGACAATGGACGGGAATATTTTAAGACTGAATTAATAGAGTTCATGAACTCTAAAGGCATCTTGCATCAAACTACATGTCCTTATTCACCACAACAAAATGGAGTGGCTGAGAGGAAAAATAGACATATATTAGAGGTGACAAGATCACTTTTGATAGATGGTAATGTCCCATCTCATTTATGGGCTGAAGCTGTAAGCTCTGCAGTTTATTTGATTAATCGAACCCCTTCTAGTGTGCTTAACTTTCGAAGGCCTTTAGATGTGTTGTCTGATCATTGTATCCTTCCTTCCATGGTTTATTTACCACCTCATGTTTTTGGATGTGTTATATATGTTCACTTACACCCATATCAACGTACAAAGCTTGAAGAACGAGCTATTAAATGTGTTTTTGTTGGGTATGGATCAACTCAAAAAGGTTACCGTGCTTACCATCCACCATCAAAGAAATTTTATATCTCTATGGATGTGACATTTAATGAGCATAAATTTTTTTATGATGATTCTACACTTCAGGGAGGCAATGAAAGTGAACTGCATAATCATGATGTTAGTATGTTTGATATCTCAAATATATAATTATATTGTGAAGATAAATTATCGTGTGAGGATCATTCTGCAGGAATTGAGCCAATCCTAAATATGGACACTTCTTTTTTGGATAATACAGTGTCTTCTGATCATAACCAATTAGCTCAATCTTCTCCACAGGTTCCGTTTGACTCTTCAGAGGTACCTTCTGATCCTATCTCTGATAATGCTAATGAAACTAATCATGAAATTGTTTCTCTTGATCCTACCCTTGATAATACTAATTTAGATGAAACCGATCATGAAATTGATCCTTGTCTACGTGAGACCACCAACACACCAAACACTGAGTCTACTACTGTCCAATATAATCTTCCACCCCGTTCTAACCGTGGTCAACCTCCAGCAGCTAAATATGAACCAGACCTCCAAGCCAAAGTTAAATATCCCATTAGTAAATATGTGTCATCTCACAAGTTATCCCAGTCATATGCATCATTTGTATCTCAATTATCTTCAATTTCTATTCCTAGTAATATACAGGAAGCTTTGGCAGATCCTAGATGGACCAAAGCAATGGTTGATGAGATGGCAGCTTTAGAAAAAAACAACACTTGGGATCTTGTGTCTTTACCAAGAGGAAATAAAATTGTGGGCTGAAAATGGATATTTACAATTAAGCATAAAGCTGATGGAACTATTGAGAGGTATAAAGCACGACTTGTGGCTAAAGGTTACACTCAGTCTTATGGTGTAGATTACCAAGAGACGTTCGCACCGGTAGCCAAGCTCAACATTGTGAGAATACTTCTGTCGCTAGCCGCAAACCAAGACTGGCTTCTTCTACAATTTGATGTGAAAAATGCTTTCCTACATGGAGAAATTTTAGAAGAAATTTATATGGATTCTCCACCAGGCATGACAAATTCAATTGGAATGAAGGTTTGCAAATTAAAGAAGGCTCTATATGGATTAAAACAATCCCCAAGAGCATGGTTTGGAAGATTTACCAAGTCTATGAAGGCTTTTGGCTATAGAGCAAGTAACTCTTATCACACCTTATTTTTGAAGAGAGGAAAAGGAAAAGTTACAGCCTTAATTATATATGTAGATGACATGATTGTTACAGGAAATGACCAAGATGAAATTTCTAGTTTACAACAATACCTTGCATCTGAATTTGAGATGAAACAACTTGGAAACCTCAAATATTTTTTGGGTATTGAAGTAGCTAGATCAAAACATGGTATTTTTCGATGCCAAAGAAAATATACTATTGACTTACTATCGGAAACTGGACTGCTTGGGAGTAAACCAATTGATACACCAATTGAACAAAATCATAAACTCTTTCAATGCTCAAATTCAGCAAGCATAGACAGAGGGAGATACCAAAGGCTGGTAGGAAAATTAATTTATTTGTCCCATACACGTCTAGATATTACCTATGCAGTGAATGTTGTTAGTCAATTTATGCATGACCCACGAAAGCTTCATATGGATGCTGTTGAGAGGATTTTGAGATATTTGAAGTCCACTCCTGGAAAAGGAATTTTGTTCTCAAATCATGGAAACTTAAAGGTAGAAGGGTACACTGATGCAGATTGGGCAGGTTCAAAAGATGATAGAAGATCTACCTCTAGATACTTTACTTTTGTAGGAGGGAATCTTGTAACTTGGAGGAGTAAAAAACAACCTGTAGTAGCAAGATCTAGTGCTGAAGCAGAATTCAGAGGCATGGCACTAGGTGTATGTGAACTTTTGTGGATTAAAAATGTGCTATCAGATTTGGGCTTTAAACCAAATGAAACTATGAGTTTGTACTGTGACAATACGTCGGCTATAGCAATTGCTCACAACCCTGTGCAACATGATAGAACAAAGCATGTGGAGATTGATAGACATTTCATCAAAGAGAAGCTTGAAGCTGGAATAATTTCCTTTCCCTTTGTAAGATCAGAATTGCAGCTGGCTAATGTTCTCACCAAAGGAGTGTCAAGCAGAGTGTTTAATGAGTCTCTATTCAAGTTGGGAATGTGTGATATCCATGCAACAACTTGAGTGGGGGTGTTAAGATATGTCAAATATTCTATTAGCAAATATTATGCAATCAAATATTGTGTTAGCTGTAATTTAGGCATTATTACAACTGTGAGGTAATTTGTGCAGCTGTCATTCCTTTAATAGATGAGGAATTATAGGACCCTTGTATGTATATATATGGTACACTATTCTTTGAAATATATATCAGAATTATTCTTTAAACCTTTTATAGTCGTTTCATCCTTGACTGTATAGTACCGATTTGGTAGTAAGTGATTCATTCCAGTTTGACTAACAATGAAATAAAACCTGCCACCATTGTCCTTAATGTCCTTAGTGATATACTGCATTGCATAACAAGTATTATAATTAATACTTCTAGGAGTTCCTATATCCTTCAAT